TAAGGTGCTTAGGGACATGGTTTAGTGGTGGGATGGCAGGGTTAGGTTAATGGTTGGACTTGATGATCTTAAAGGTCTTTTCCAACCTAAACAATCCTATGATTCTAGAACTTGAGTTCTTCTGTGATCATCCTGAAAGTAGATAGTAAGTTGAGGTTTGCATAGAATTAGATGGAAAATACTGCTGAATTTGTCTGCTTAAGATTTACTTCAGTTCCATTACCGCGTTGGCCAAGTGCATCTCAAACATCCTTCTCTGGTAAGGAAGTGGTATTTTCTCTCTACACATATGTAGATGGGGAACTGAAGTGCAAAAGGGCCAACCCACAGAAAGCCTGTAGCAGAAGCGTGTGTCGTGGTTCCTGTGGAACCCTTAGACTGCCTTGTCTCAACATACATACTACACTGTTGTTAACTAGTGGATGCCATGTTCCTCCTTGGGTTACTGCTGCCCCTTTGCAAGTGACAGTACAGCAAAATGGGATCTGATGATAGTGAATGAACAGATGAGCATTTAGGCTGCTGAAAACAGTAATTAAATGTGATTAGGATAGAAGTGTGTAAAACAAGCAATACTATATAGAAAGAAGGTAAATATTAAAATTCCTGTTGTCTCTGTCTGTGTGTGTCTGTTTCAAGCCTTTAAAACTTGTTGGAATAAAACAGTTTGTTCTTTCCTGGCCATATGTCTCTTAATCTATGGAATTAGCTGAAGCAAGCTGTCATGGAGACAAATAATAAAACAGTAAATTAAAAACAAAAAAGTGTTAGTCATTTAGATTTTCTGATTAGAAGAGTAGTGGGAAACGCAAAGTACTGTTCTTCAGAGACGTGGGAGAGTGTTGATTGCTCTGTGCATATGTATGGATCAGGAATGTCTCCAGTGATTTCTTCGGGGTACCACTAAAGGTGTGTATGACTTCAGAAGATACAGGACCACTCCTGAAGGCCTGTCATGCAAAGACTTGACCACCAGTAAACCTTAAGTGAAGTTCTGTGATGAATACTGTTATGGGTCAAACCTTGTTCAGGGTTTCAGTTAGCAGTATTTTGGGTCTGTAGTGGGTGTCACTTCCTTACGACTAGTCTGCCTGACTCATCCTAGGCAGTAATGAGGAAGTAAAGGAACAGGGAGGAAAAAAGTAGCAAAAGAATTCATGTTTTTTTGTAGGTTTGTGGAAATTTGTCAAGTATGTTTAGATAGCAGGGTCTTACTTTTTTTAATAAAGATAAAGGGCCCTGGAAAATGCTGAACCCAAATGTCTGAGTGAAGTCTAAGGTAACCAGGTAGTTAGATGTCTTGTGTCTAGGATGTGCAAGTGTCATGTTTCCCATCTGACAGCAGTGAAGTCTGGCACTGCAATAGGGAGTCAACTGTAGCTTGGTCATTGTCAGGTTTTAGAGTTCCTCTAGGAAGTGTGGCAACAGCCTGGCCAATGGTCATGCTGAAACCCCTCCTTTCTTGTCGTGCTGGAAAGAATTGAGAAATCAATAGGAAAATAGGATTCCATATGGCCTGTCTAGACTCAACTAAAGATAAACCCATGGGGTTTATAAAAAATTGTTTTAGCTGAAGAGATGTGGATCTCCTTGCGTAGCTGTGATGCTGTCACCCTTCCTTGTGTTCCTGTCATGTAGTAGCCAGGGTTTGCTCTCCACTGAAAGGAACACATCTAGCCTAGATCACAGCTCCTGCTTGGCTACTCAAAGAGCTAAAATGAAGCGTGCAGGGAGAGGTCTGCTACTTGAAAGCAAGCACCAGAATTGAAAATATGAGACTTGATCCAGCTGCTTCCTAAATACTGGTATCCATTTCTACGGTAGCATATAAGCATGCATGTGATGCATGTGTCTTTGCGTGCTGTTGTGAAGATAATTCTGCCCAAGGTTGTTTGATTGTTAGCCTTACTGAGCTCAAGTTGATTTTGCTACCAACATTTCTGTATCAAATCATCCCTTCTGAAAATTAATCTTTATATTCATGTCTCTTGTGGTTGTCCTGCTGGCCATCGGAAAATATTTATCACATCTCTCCATCTCCCAGCAACAGAAGAAATAGAAAACTTTACACCTGAGAAATCTGTTTTATGTTCTTCCCCCGTGCACAAATACAACTGCTGTAAATTGGGGTAATTTTCATTCTCTAGCTTACCCAGAGGTCAAGGAGTTCACGCACTCAGGACCACATGTGTGACCGAGTTTCAGGGAACTAGAGAGCAGAGGCACAAAGTGTCAGCCCAAGTCTCAGAAGTTGCACTGAGTGTAGTGCCATAAGCTTGCTGTAATCTTTGAGATGGTGTAATTTGGGACAGGTGTTTTCAAGTAGAAATTAAATGCAAATTGAGGAGAGGGAGAAAAGTAGTTGACTGCACTTTTTGGCATGTTAATATTAACGTGCTCACAAAGTATAGAGGATGGTGATTTTCCTGAAGTATTCTGAATACAGCAGGGTCTGAGCTGGGGAAAGCCAGTGGAAACAATCTTTATTTTAGGGAAGTTAGGGCTGTTATCTTTCTGTTTGTGTCTCAAAATGCCTAACACTTTGATCATCAAATATTCCCTTGCTAAGATGATGACTATACGCTGTCATTTCTTGATCAGCTGACAGGCCACTTCATGATTAGGAATTGTTGCAGTATTTCAGCAGTGTACATTTGAAGTGGATCTCACTAAAGTTTCCCTTTTTACTTGGACAGAGGAGAATGAGGAACGCACTATGATTGATCCGAACTCAAAAGAAGACCCCAAGTTCAAAGAGCTGATCAAGGTAGGAAATCACTATTTTGTCCTTCTTCAAGTCTTTAACTAGTGAGCTGGAGTCATTTACAAGCTGGTTACCAAGAACACAGTTGAGGAATAACAACTTGTTACTGAAGTATATTGGTGAAAACTGAGGTCATCAACAAGGTAAGGCTAAAAGCAGCAACAAGAGAAATAAGAAAAGGCTGAATGTCAGAGTGCTCATGGTAGTTATGGAGTAAAGCTCCACTGTCCATTTATATCCTTGTGATTATCACAGCGAGGATCAGTGCTTAGCTTGAATCACTGCATATAAACCTAGGTTCCTTGTGTTTATGAAAATAGCAAAGGAGCTTAGAAAAGCATTAGTGAGATTTCAGGAGAAGAAAGAGTGGGACTGAAATGAGCATGGGCATGGTAGGGGACATCAAGGACACCTCTGGTGTTACAGGAAAGTTGGAAATGAGATTCTTCTAGCTCTATATTCTCTTGGGGTTTTTTTTTTGTTTGTTTGTTTGTTTGTTTGGTTTTTTTTAAAGAAAAGTCCTCAGTTTACCTGTGTGCTGAGGCAGGGGCCAGATGTCCTGAATCTGTATTGTCACTGGAGACACCTGCCCAAGGTGTTGACAATGGTGTTCTCAGCTGTGCTGATGTGAAGTGTGGCTTTCTGCCTCAGCAGTGCTCATAGTTTCTGCCAGGTATGATGGAAGATTTGAGCTTGAGGGACAAGCATTTAGGAGAATCTTTTCTATGCAGTGAGTCGTTGAGGTTAACAGAGTGAAAGCTTGAGCAGGAAGAGAAGGGATGGCAGTTCTGAACAAACACAATCTCTTTCCAAAAAGCATTTGTGCTTGTGTTATACTTCCCGCTACACTTCCTCTTTATTATTTTAAAATTACTTTTAAAAATTATTTTTGTTAGAAACAACAACGCAGCTATAGCTGGGTAGGTCTGAAAACTTTGGATAACTTATACTGTCTCCAGTTAGGGAGTTGAGCTGTGGCCCCTTATGCACCCTGGCTGCACACATGCGCTTCACAGAATGCCTCAGCGGACTGCTCACCTGGTACGCCTTTAAAACAAAACCAGATCCATAATTAACACTGCAATAACATGTTTAGGATTACAAAACCACATCAAACTGAGTTTAGCAAGGAGCTGTGTTCAAATTTCTTTGTTATTCTAATTCACCTGGAATACATTTTGGTTTTAAATTAAGTGAATTTGCGCATTCTTTCTTTGTTAGTACCTAAATCCATTAATTCTCTCAAAAGGTACAGCAGTATCGCACCGCTCTTTCAAAATGCGCTGTGGTTTCTCTGCTAGTGGAGCAGTGATGTTATCATGAATGATTCAGCTGAACCAGAGTCGTTGCAGTGAAGGAACCAGATGCACTCTGTGGTGCAGGAGACTTAATACTGAAATCAGAATTGCTTTTAAATTGGGAATTTTGTTGTTGAATTTAATATGAGTTGGTGAGTCTTTCCTGGATGTCATAGTTAGCAAGGTTATACTTTTCAGTTTAAAAACCTGAAAACCTTCAGGAGGAGTGAAAATCAGGACTAGAGCAGCACTCGAGAATGTGTCTGAGTGCTTGCAGTGCATTGCAGAACCAGGCTCTGGTTCACTACGCCAGGTTACACTTGCATGAAGAGAGAGTAATGTATTGGCAATTGAACTGGATGGAGCAGCTGGTGCAGGGAGTAGCGTGTATCTGGAGATTGTTTCCTAGGGATCATCCTCAAAGGAGAGATGTGTCCTGTAGAGTGTCTACTTGAAAATTATGTAATTTAGGTAATTGCTAATCATTTGCATACCTCTCAGCAGTTGAGTTTTTACAGAGATTCAGGTAGAGAAATATTTGACACGATATTGGTGGGAATCTGTAAGGCGGGGAGAGGTTTGAATTGTGTTGGGAAAACCTGGTTTATGCCACAGAATTTGGATAATGCAAAAAACCAAGCAATTAATTCCTTGTTTTCTGTTCTTCAGTGGTTAATGACATTTTCCAAGAGCCCCAGTGCTGGGTGAAAATTAGCTGTGCTAAGTGCTATAGAGCAGCAGCCAGCAGAAAAGACTGCCTGCCCCACAGAGCTTGAAACGAAAGATCTCCATGGACTAGCAAGGAGTGAGGAGTTGAAAAATGGAGGTTTCAATAGTTTAAAGTGGTTCTCTCTCTTTTCCCCTCAGAGAGGAATGTGTCAATAGCAGCAACAGAGCCTCATGCCTTTTGAAATTTGGCAGTATGACTTAGTTTCATTGGTGCCAGCCCAAATCTCTTTCAACACCGGAGTTAGACATGCCGATGGTTTGCCATCATTGAGTTTGAGTGTGTCTGTTCTGTCAGTCACATGCAGTTGGGTAAATGGATCTCACTGCAAAGAAACAGCAGAGATATCTGTTGCTGACACTGCTTTAATATCTCTTTGTCTCCACAAAATGTTCTTTTAAATTCTGCTAGCCTCATGCCATAGGAATTATATGCATAATGGATTGATCAGTGCAAGCTTGTGTGAGCGTTTGGAAGTGATTTTGACAGAGCCGTTGTAACTCTGGAGGGACAGATTGTGTAGCATTGTGGTAACATGGGGAGACCAACAGGAAAAAAAAAAAACAAACCAAAAAAGCCTCATTCTGTACTCTTATTAAGCCAAATATACAGTGAATCCCTTTGTTGAAGGCTGCTTAGCTGGGGATGCTAAATTACCTGCTTTGAGTCCTTTTGCACATATGAAAATCATCAGGAACTAGAATTATGCCACAAAGTGTTGTGTGTTATCATCATGGATGGTATTCTAAAAATAGTTGGCCACAATTTGTCAGTATGAAGTGTTCAGCTAAGTTCCCTCTGTAGCCAGCAGCCTTTTTTTTCCTCACTTCATTTGCTCTGTATGTAATCAAACACAGTTTGGTGCATGGCTGAATGGACCTAAAGCTGAAAATTCAGATTGGGGAAAGAGAGATGAGTTATTTTATTTATATATAAATAAATATATAATGATATATACTATAGATATATAAATAATTTATTCACAAAATATTTCTGGTGTCTGAAATGTGTGACCTTCTTTTACTCATTGCCCAATATTTGCCAATTGACAAGTGCACAACTAACTTAATGTAAGCATTTGAATTACAAGTTTGGACTGTTTTATGATCGGATATGGAGGTGTCCTGTGATATATTGTTTCTTCTTGTGTACTTCAGAGTCAAGTTTCTAGTCTATATGTTATTGTGCATGTGTTTAAAATTCAGTTTCCATTAATATATTAAATTCCCTCAGTTGGTCCGTGTCACTAATTGTAAAGAGTGTTTGAGGGTTCTTCTAGCTCTCCTTTGAATACTTTAAAAAAAAAAAAAAAAGGGAGGCTGATCTGTGTGTGCTTTCCTTGTTGTTCATGGGTGTTTCTTTGTGTATGGGGTGTAAATGCAGAAGGAATCTTTTTTTTTTGATCTGGTTCAGATATGGCTGAAGGGTAAAAGTTTCAACAGCTTCATTGCTGGTTGTCATCCTAAACATAATTAGAGTTAATAGGCTGTAGGAATTGAGTCAGAGACTTAAAAAGATATTTTAAGATTTCACATAACTGACAGATTTCCTAAGGTTTTCTCATGTGTTTCAGTAGGAAAAGTATGAAGAAGAGCTTCTACTAATTGAATCCAAAATTTTAGAACAGCAGCTTGCAAGAACTGGGTCCCATCTGTAAGCGCCTTGCCTTGACAAAAGACAGCAAGTCACAGTTGCAAGATACTTTCCCTCCCTGCAAAGACTTCTGTAACATCGGCTGATACTGCAGCAAATTTTGACCCTTAAAGCCTCATCTAAACTTAAAACAGATCTAAATACTGCTGCTGCCTGAAATGAATAAACCTTCACACTTGTAGTAAATCATTCACTGCCCTAGAAATTATCCCCTTTTTCCGTGTCTAATCTTATGGATTTTTAAAATTCACTGTGGTGAGGAAAAAACCAAAATGAAGCTGGTGTCCTTCTGGTAAGGTTTCACGTGTGACCAGACAACACTGTGCTTCCTAAATGCTCTGTGGTCTCTGCTTTTGAAAACAAGAAGCCTCCTCTTCGTTTACAGGCTGCCAGTGATTTGTGCTTAGTCAATAGTTTCCAGGCCTTTTTAATATTAACTTCCATGCCCAGCCCTGAAGCCAGTTAAGCTTTCATACATGTGATCTCTGCTTCCTAGTTCTCCCAGAAGTCAGGGGGGAAAAGGGTCATCAAAATCGGGGGTTTCTTTCTTTGCTGTTTTTGGTGACCGAGCTTCCTGTTTTCCTGTTGTGACAGCTGTGTTTGTGTATTTTGTCTTTGTTTTTAATTTTGTTCATTACTGTATAGCTGTGACTGTGGAGTCCTTATGCCCTTGAACTCTGCAGATAAACTCTGAATGTGCCTCGCCGCCATAGGAGGCAGCCAGCCTGCAGAACAAAAATACTTCACCGAGCTGGTGAAGTTTGATGTAAAACCCCATCTTGCATGAACAAAACAAACAAATTGGCCAGGCAGACTCATTTGTCCTTCTAGATTTCTAGCACTCTCTTGTTTCAGCTGTCTGCCTCATGGCAAATTTCAATTTTCAGCCCAGTGTTTAGTAATGCAACATGGCTCATTTAAGCAGGCGTATGCATTTGTCCTAAAAATGGTACGATTAATGGATATGTCAGAATTTAAAGCAGCGCTGGAAATTTTACAAGTACAAACGGATGTGTCTGAGCATTTGATACAGTTCAGAGGTGTTTTATATGAGTATGGATATGCATGAAAAGGCAGGCATGGTTTTGAGGGTATGGGGATATTGTATTAAAGTTTTAAAATCATGCTGCTAATCCCAGATACTATAGAAGACTATAGAAAACCACCTTTTTACGAAGGTGTGACAAGTGACCTAGCAAACATTTCTGTGTACCTGCATGCCAGTTTTTTTTGAGTCTCCAAGTACTGAACAGAAGTTGAAGCTGAGGTGCACTGAGGATCATTAGCTACATGCGGGATCTCGTGGTGGCTTCACCAGCTGTTGCATGTAAGGAGAGGCACGGTGTTAGGGCTGACACTGGGAGAACAGGGTTTGCAGTAAAGCACTTCTTCAGTCCTGCACTGTTTGTCTTACACACACTATTTAATGCAGCAAATGTAGCCCGAGCTTAAAAGGCAGTATTGAACTGCAGATGTATGAAGTGCAGGCACAGAAATGAAGGAATGGGTAGAGGAGTGTGAGACCAGACAGATCAGAGTTAGGCGTATTTCCATGCGCAGGAAAAGCTCTCTGTCTGCACCTTCTGTCTGCTTCCCACCAAGTGCCCTGTTCCTGTATCAAGCTGTTTGAATTTTTAGGCATTCAAGTTGTTGAATATTTTCTGCTTCTCTCTTTGATTGAAGGAGCAACTACAAAGAACTGGAGAGCTGACTTTCCGTAAGCAAAGTCAGAAAGTATTTCTGCATGTTCATCATTTCAATAAGCAATATAGTGCTTTATTTCCCTTGTAAAAGTTTAAAAAAAAAAAAAAATCTCTGCAGAAAGATTTTTTCCTAGGCTCCTAATTAAGACACAGTCAGGAAATCAAGAGGTGGGACAACAGATCTTTGGGGTTGATTGGTTTGTTTGTTTTTTAATTACAGCACTTGCCAGTCTTCAAGGGCTGTTTAAAAAAAAAAGAAGTGGATTATTTTTTTCTTAAATATAAATTGAAAATTCATTTTTTCTAGCAGAGCTGGAGTTGTAGTCTGAATACTAAAGAAGTTAGAATGTTCTGTGGGATATTTTTATTTCATTCAGGTGCTGAACTATTAAAATAATAAAATAACTATGGCTAGACTTTGTTTAATTTATATGTCTTTTATGTACTATTTTGCCAAAGGTTTTTCAGTGCTAAATTTCTCTGAAACATTTAAGTAGCACATAGTGTAAGTATTTCCCTTTTTTAATACCCGGTACCCAAAGCCGCTTTGTGACTCCTATGTACCTACACTCTTGGAAATGGGATGTTGGCTCCTATGTTAGAAGGTACTTCCAGACATTTATTTTTAATTCCTTGGCGTTTTCTAGATTCTGACTTCAATACCATTCAGCACAGGACAGACAAAATAAAATGTTTATTAATGGTTTCAAATAGTTTAGCATCCCGAGTCTTCCTTTAACAAAGCTTCTGAGGACTTTGGGAAATCTGACCTCTTCCTATAGCAACTGTAATGGCATCTAATTATCAAATTATAATTTCTGCTGAACTTCAGATAGTATTTGAAAGTCTGCTCTGTAAATGTCATGGAAGACCTAAATCTTCTATGAC